AGTATGTGTGGTTGGGATTCCCTGTCCCGAGGCTCCAGCCTCGAGCCCCTATTTCCACCGGGAAACCCCACTGTGGGATTCTTGATGGCAAAAACACAGATGTTGACCAACCAGCACCAGCGAGAGAGAGCATCTTTGCTCCAGTCCCCACCAAGACTCAAAGCCAGGCTTGGGTTCTAGAAAGAGCAGTGACTTGTCCAGCAACGTGCGGGAGACAAATGGGGAACACACTATAGGGCACAGCTCCCGTGGGAGCAGCCTGGATCCTCTGCACGTGCAATTATTTCTCATTCTCAAATGAACGGGGGCCCTTGTGTATTTTTGAGTTCTGTTCTGACGTACGCACACACATTATAAGGATATATTCCTTTAATTTTTGGAACTGGAAAACTTTCTTTAATTCGCTCTATTCTTGTAGGACACAAAGATGGTCAAGAATCCACCACCCACCCAAGCTGACGCTCAGCCCCGTTTGTAAGCAGCCGGCTACATAAATGTGTGCGTGGCTGTTAGGTAGTTTCTTCCAACGATTAAATGAAAAAAAAAAAAAGATCGTATTTATGTGTGTCTCTCTCTCTCTATATGTATGTATATAAAACCATGGCATTCTTAATTCTGGCCCAAGATAATAAAGTATACATCTAGTGCCACTCACCAAATACCAGCGAATGCAGGATGTGTCACTGAGGGGTCTGTTGGCGTGGGTCCAGGCTGTCCCCCGGGATGGATGGCAATGGGATACCAGGTCACCAGAAGGAATATGCTCACTCGTGGAACTGCATTTCCAATATATGCATATATATGCGTGTGTGTGTGTGTGTTCTTGTGTGTGCAGTATGTTGCCAAAGTAGAAAACACCAGTTTATTCTGCCCGTACTAAGCGTGTTAAATAAATCAGATTCTGTAACCGATAACATTTTTTTTTTAAAAAGGAACATTGAAGATCTTCAAAAATTGCTACAGTACAAAAAAAGTGTGTGTGTGTGTGTCTGTGTGTATTTATATATTTATATATGTATATTAACCAGAAATAGCGACTCTATTGGAAGATTCCCACCCCCTGTTTTCGGGAAGATTTCTACGCGTGGTTCGCTTGGCTTCACCTTGGTCACCAAGTCCTTCGGGTCAGTACATGGCACATAATGGTATTATCAGCAAAGGTTCAGAATCAGTTCAAATCCCAGGCTCCAGGTGCTTCCTGCTGGCCTTTCTTCTCTGTCTCCAGCTTCCTCCTTGCTTTCCTTCTTTCTGCTCTCCAAAGACAACTCTGGCAGAAGGCAGTCCCCCATAGGCGTGGGCATTTTTATAAAAATATATTTGGCCTATAGCGTCCTGCTCTTTGAGCTCCCCACCGGCAAACTGAAGCGGTAGGTATGGGGACCCTCCCCGTAGAGAGTTTAGTTTTTAGGTTTTGTGTGTATGTGTGTGTGTGTGTGTGTGTGTTTTAATTTTTTTTTTTAATTTTATTTATTTATTTTTTTTACAGGTTCACCAACGGAATCCTGTGTGGAAAGAAAACAAGAAGAGATTAAATAGCAGGGAGCCAAGGGCAGGATGAGTCTGTATAGCCCCTCTGAGCCTTGCTGGCTTGCAGACACCGGGGTCTCCTGCCCTGGGCACCGGGGACTGGAGCACATGCTAGGAGTCCCAGGGACCTCGTGCTAATCACAGTACTTGATGGTGGAGCTGTTGCTTCTGCCCGCAACAGGAGTGGGTCTGGGCTTCCTAAGAGGGGCTGGGACCACCCCTGCGTTAACTACGAGGGGGCCGTGCTCCACAAGCCTGCAAGTGACTGCATGCACCCAGTGCCAGGCTGACCCCCTTTTCAGCTCCTACCCACCAGGAGCAGATGCCGCCCGCCCCATTCCTGGATGGCGGGAAGCAGTGGGGTCCATTTCAGCCCACTGCTCAGCTGGAGGCTCACTGAGGCTGGGACTTGGGGAGATTAACCGGTTGCATCAGAAAAACTGACCCCTGGGTCTCCCCAAGACGCGATCTTGCTGAAGAAAGAAAGAAGGCGAGTGCTTGCAAGCCAAGTCAGCCGACTGCAAAGAAGGGCAGCTCTTCCCAACCTGGGCATACCTAGTCTCAGAAAGTAGGAACCCCAGAGTCTTCCCGCCTCAGTGACAGACCCCAGAGGTCAGCATCTCCCAGAGAGTCAGAGACCTGCGGCTGTTCTGGGCATGGCCAGGGGCATTGGAACACGCCATGGCTCAGCCTGGAGGCACTTCTGCTGTAAGGATGGGGCACTGTTTCTCTCTGCTGTCACTTGGAGTCCCCCCCAGCTCACAACTACAGGAAACGAGGACCCTCAGACAGTACAAAGGGGGAGGACGCTGCACACTCATCTATGCCGCTGAGACAACTAGACGGGGGACAGTAATTCCAAAATAAAGCCCAGAGGCCGTGGGCTGGAGCTCTGGCAAGTCCGCGGGGGGTCCCGGCCCCGCAGGACCGGCCCTGTCCTAGTCACCTGCTGAGCACTTCAGAAACACACACACCTGCACCCACCTCCAGAGGCCCAGACGCAGGTCCTCGGGTAGGGCCTGTGGATATGGGTTTCTACAAGCTCCCCAGGAGACTCTGATCCTGTGCCAGGCCTGGGCCCATTACCTCTGTCTCAACAGCCGAGGGGGTAGGATGCTTTGTCCTGAATTGAATAAGCCTGCCGGGTGATCCTCCCCGGGACTGGGGGCTGCGGGGCGCCCAGGCTGGGGGAGGCAGGAGGCTGCAGGCCAGCATCCTGCTCGGCACTGTCTGCACCAGGAGCTTCAGCACGGACATTCTCCTCCACTTGGGTTGGGGGTGAGGGGGCTCGTTTTCCCTCCGGGAGCCCTCCTGGTCTGGACAACAAGGCAGGGCCCCTAGCTGCCGCCTCACCTTGCCTTCTACCTCTGTATGACACGTTTGAGCAACCCTAGGAGGCCTAAAACGGAACGTCTACTCATCTCCCGAGGGACTGCATGCTCTGCTGTGGGCAGGGTGTCATCTCGTGTAAAGAAATAGGACATCTGGTCAGGTGGGTGCTGGACCACCCTCGGCAGCTTCACTCCAACGGTGCCCTGCCCCTGCTCACCTCCACTTTCTAGGATGGGGTGGGGGTGCTTTAAAAAACGAAGCCATTAAAGAGGAGAGTAATGTCCCTCCTGCATGTCTGCCCTCATTCTAATTTTTGGAAAGCTAAAAAATGTGGACACAAATGCTCCATGACTCCACTCACAGGAGGAGTCAAGTGCAAAGAGCCTGAGAGGAGAAGGGGGCTCCAGGGGCTGGGGGAGGGGGTCGGGGGGGGTCGGTGTTTCATGGGGGCAGAGTTCTAGTTTGGGATGATGCGGAGGTTCTGGAGACAGGTGGTGGTGAGGGATGCACAATGTTGTCGATGTGCCTGATGCCACAGAACTGGAAATGGTCCATTCTGTGTTAGGTACGTGTTACCGCAATTTTAAAAGTTAAAAAATACACACCAAAAAAACATGGGGACTCGAAAGCCTGTGCCTGGTGATCGCGGGCCCAGGTCCGGCGGCCTGGGACCCTCTCTGGTTTGAGCAGCGCCCCCTCCTCGCTGGCATGAGGGTCCTGGGTTGGAGCACCTGTCAGACGGCTGTCCCCTCACGAGGGGAGGTTTCCTGCGAGGACCGCTGCAGGGCTACCTTCAGGTCCTTTATTCTGACGGTAACCAGACCGATGGAGGTGACAGGTGCGGCCTCGTCCCTTCCCTCGCGCCCGCCGTCGCGTGGGGGTTCTTCCGTATGGAGTTTATGCGGCCACTGTCCCACCTCACGTCTTCAGTGCTTCTGACCCCGGACAAGGTCCTGCCTCCTCGTTCCATGTCCTTCGAGTACCTGCAGACGGTCACCTCCCTGGGGAGGCCTTCCTGGACAGCCCCTCCTCTCCTAAATGCGACCTCTAGTTCATCTTTGTCTATTCGAGCTCGCTGTTGTGGGGCTTTGCAGGTAAGGGCAAGCCACGCGGGCTCTCCTGAGTGTGTGCACGCCACGAGTCGTTGCAGGTGTTACGGGGTGCCTGCTGGGTCCACCGCGTCTCCAGCTCTGTGCCTGGCCCGGAGTGGACCATCAGTCCTGGACGCAGCTCAGGGAAGAGGCATGTGTGGGAGTAGCCTCGTCCTCGGCCCCCGAGACTCATGACCTTCAGGCGCTGCGTGCAGGTGGGTTCTGACTACTGCATCCGAGGACAGACGGAGCGGCCCTTGCGCTGCTGGGGATGGAGCCTCTTCCAAACCTACCGGCGTCTGTCTCAGGACGAGAGAGGCAGAGAGAGAGGGGCAGGGAGAGGGCTCCACTCTGTGCCCTGCATTCCACCTGAACAACAGTGCTGGCTTCCTGCAGAGGTGGGTGGGTTCCCTGCAAGGGTCTCCGGCAAGGGTGGCATCACCCCGTCAGGCCGGGAGCAGGGGCGTGACCTTCCACGCCCGCCCCACGTTCCTGCTGCTGGCACTCAGCTCACGGGAGGGCTTCGGCTTTCTGTTCCCAAGGCTCGGTGTATGACCCTCTCAGCTGGGCACTAACCCTGAGAGGGACCTGAGAGGGCCGTGCATCCCAGGCCAATGGGAAAGACAGCCAAGGAGCACGCCCCTCCACGTCCTGGCTGGAGACACATGTCAAGGGCACCCACACCCACACCCACGAGGGTTCCCGGCCAGAAAGGGAAGCAGCATGCTGCAAAGTGATCTGAGAGACTGGGACCTGGGATGAATTCTGACTTTGGAGAAACTAGTGCTCCCTGCTGCCTGGAAGGAGATCCTGGGTTTTGCCTGGCCCCCCCAGCAGCAGACCACACGCTGGGTCCCAGGCTCAGAGATCAGTGTCTGCCTTTGCAAAACAAAGAACACACCGTGGCAAGAGCACCCAGTGCCAGGGGCTGCTAGTCCGTTTCTCCACTGCTGCGTCCTGAAAGGGGTACTTTGCCGCCAGGTTTGTCTTGCTGCTGGTGCTCGGCTGAGACAGACCAGTTTGCAGTACGGTCTGCACGTTGCTTTGAAAACAGTGCTCCTCTGAATTGCAAAAGCTGGGTATTCTGTTAATGTGTTGTTTTTTGTTTTTTGTTTTTTTTTTAGAACAAAGCAGGAAGGCTCAGGTGCATATCTCGGCTTTTATTAGTTATGTCTTCAGTGTGTTTTTGAAAATAATAATAACACATGATTTATTTCTTACTGGCTTCAGATACGAGAACTTTTATTACTTTTCGGGCTCAGTTGGGAATAAAGTGGCCTTGGCAAATGCAAAGATCTGAACACTAATGAGGTTTTCTGAAGTTTACCTGTTATGTGAAAAATGACAGGAAATTAGCCCGAGAGCCAAGGGCGGGCGTGTGTCCTTGGCCCCTTTCCTCGGTGGGCGGGAAGGTCAGGACAACTGGGTGCCACTGTGGAGGTGGTCTGAGGCAGGAATTTGCCAGAATCGACTACAGAGGCCGAATCAGGGCGACAGAGTGAACATCTGCCCAGACGGGGGTGCCTGAATCCGGGACAACCCGCCCGCAGGGCAGCGCACTGGCCACTTTCGGGTCCCACGTGTGCGTGTGGGTCAGCGCGAGCGGACAAGACGGTGTGGTAACAAACTGCTCTGTCATCATGACAAACGCATTCGGAGGGGCTCAGCAACTACGCAGGAGATAAGTATCTCCGCCAGCTCCTAAACCTTAATTAAATATTTTAGTATTAATTGCTATTTATTTAAGGGACAATAAGTACCTTAGTAAATCTGAGCGATCTTCCTGGCCATTCTCTGCTCGATGCTCATGTCCAGGCATTAACTGCAAGAATCAGGGAGACTTAGAATCCGAATGCTTTCCTCCCAGTGAGTGATAACCGGTCTGTCCGACACGTGGTGAAGGAGTCTTTAAGCATTTATCAAAGGCTAACAAGACTGTTTGCGGAGCCCTCCTGGTCTGCGTCTGCCACCAGGTGTGGCTGCTACATGTGGCCGGACTCAGAGGAGGTCCTGTCTCGGCTCTTCTCACCTCCCCGAACGGCCCGCCTGGGGTCCACAGTGAGCGGGTCAAGCTCTTCGGACACAGATGTGTCCCTTCCTGAGAATGGAGGTGGTCCTGAGACAGTTCCTAGGACGACCTGGCAGGTGGGGGTCCAGACAGCCTGAGAGGAACGTGGTCCAGGCAGGGCCCACCTGGGAGTGGCAGAAGGGGTGAGCCCACCAACAGCTTGCGGGGGTCCTTTGATGCCTGAGTTGCTAGAAGAGAGAACTGAGTCTGAAAAGCTTTCTGGAGCACAGGAATCCATAAAAGCACTTTTCTACCATTTTTTTTTTTAAGTCAGGGCTGTGACTCTTGGTTCCAATGTGGGTGAGGAGGCTGGTGGCTCAGGCTGTTGGGCGCTCAGGAGCTGATCTCCCGTCTGTAGAACTGAGCTAAATGTCCCAGGATGCCAGTTTGCTGGGAAAGCCCACCTCCAGCTGCACCAACTCTCCTCCCACTTGGGGCCGGGCTGGGGGTGGCACAGGGGACAGAGGGATAGCGCGGAGGGCTGCAACCGAGAGAGAGCCAGGCCGCCTTGGGCTGATCCGCCCCACCACGAGCAACCTGACTGGCCCTAGGCAAGTCACTTAACTGCTTCGTTCTTCAGTTTCCTCTCTGTAAAGTGGCATTTCTGGGAGGACAGTAGGAGTCCCTAGATGTCAAGAGTGCTCCCTAAGTGTCCCCCTGAAAGTCCACCTCAGGGAACCTGCCGCCCAGCCCCTGCTGGTGGGGGGGAGCTCCCTGGAGTGAAGAGCACCTCCAGGCTGTGAGCCTGCAGCTCCTGAAGGAAGGGAGCAGAACCCTTGACGTGCAGGGCCAGATCAATGTCTTATGTTTTTATGCATTTTTAAAATCCTAACAGGGATACTGGTGACCACCGGGCCATCCTGCAGAGGGTTCACCAGACAGGTGGGAACTCTGCTGCTAATAAGAAGCTCCCTGTTGCCAGCCTGGTTGGAACTCCAAAGGGAGCTTTGTCCCTGGCCTTAATGAGGTGAGTCACATTGAGGCAGACAAAGGCACCAGGTTCTGATGGATGGGCCATGCAGGCGCATCTGGCCCTTGAATGGTTGGGGACGGAGTGCACCGTACCTAACTTGCCTGCACAGTCTCAACAAAGGCCTTTTGTGGGGGTGGGGAGGAGCGCTTTCCATTCTCGTCTAATCACATTTCTTTGCCCGATAGCTGCACATCATGCTAAGCAGGTCATTTTGGCTTCAGGACAGGAAGCGAGGGCTGGAGATTTGATTTGGAGCAAACACTTGATTCATGAGGGCTGGATTAGGACCGACCCATTCACTCCTATTTCTGAAAGCCGTGGGTTCCTCCAGCCCCTGGTTTCGTGCTGCGAGCCGAGCCCCCCAAGGGGCACACGGGCGCCCCCAGGAAACACCTCCCACCCACTCTGATGATGATTCCTGCCTCAGAAGGTGGGCAGAAGGAAGAAGCAAGTATTTTCAAATATCGATAACCCATCCTAGGACCTGGGTTCCCTACTCAGGGAAGGGATCCGATGTCACAGAGTATCTGTGTTTGAGAAAAAAATGAGGGTCCTTAGAAAACCCAACATCAAAAAGAAAAACAAGACCAAAAAGCCCAAAGTCCGGGTTGCATCTATTGACTGTGTGGAGACAATGTGCAGTCATGGGGGCAAAATGCACTTTCTCCCCCAGCAGCCTGAGTGTTCGGGAGACTCGGCACAGAAGAAAGCAATTTACCGTTAGCATTAAAGTTAATATCACTGAAAGCAAAGCAAATGTTCCTATTCAGCAGAGCGTGGAAAATTCATCCTGTTTTGGTGCTGGTCCCTGGCTTTAAATTAGTAGATGTCTCAACTCTTGCTTCCTTCCTTTATCTTTTCCCTTCTTATCTCTCATTTTTATATTCCAAAATTGTGTTTTAATTCTGCTTCGAGTCCTCCTCCGCCCACCCCACCCCCCGCCCCGACGTAGAGACATCCGATGCAGGTGTGATGCCTGCCCGCATAGCCGCTGCCCTGGTCTCTGTCTGTTGAGGGGCCAGGTTTCCCTGCCGGCTGGGGCCTTACCTGGGGCTGGGACGGCGCTGCCACTCGTGGGTGTCTGTCCCTCCCTCCACGGGGACATTTCTAACAAGTGCAGCAGAGAGACCACAAGCCCAGCCCTCCTGGCTCGCATTCGAGATGGCAACGCCATTGGAATTCCACCTGCCATGTCCAGAAGGGCTCCCGGTTGTCCCAGAGTGGAGGCGGGGGTGAGGAAGGTGAGGCAAAGGGGGGAAAAATTGATCGATGTCCAAAAAAAGAGGTACGTACCATAAAACAGACACATGGCGTCTGCCCTGCCCCCAGGAGGTAAACAAGACTTCGGCCAGTCAGCAGGAGATTTCAAACCATTTCTCAGACACAAAGGCCACAGGAATAAGATGCCGATCAGAAGAAGAGGGTCTGCAGCGATCAGAAAAACGGGCTTGCGTGCGCTCGGACAGAACACCGGACGAGCAGGCCGCCTGAGGCCTACTGCCGGAAACTGGCTTCTTGAGTCGAAAAGAACGCAGAAAGGTAATGCTCAGCTGGGACCCACTGGCCTTCGGCAGGAAGGGGGCCCCTCTCCCTGTGGCCAGCTAACACTCATGTCCACCCTGGAAGGCCCTGGAGGACACAGAGCCTGAAGGAGCCGTGCACAGAAGACATGTAATTTTTAGTTTTTTAATTTGCAGGACAAGCCCAAAGCTTGGGGTCTCCCCCTCCAAGGGCAAGGATTCCACCCACTTTACTGCACATGATGGAGTGGGCAGGGCCTGACTCCTGAAATGGGTCTCCTGTCACTTGTCACCTTTGAGACCTAAGCTACCATTTCCAAAGGCCAGAGAGAGCCAACAGAGCATTGCCTTGGGCCAAAAAAGCAAGAACCCATTCCACCCAATGCCTCCGAGCCAGGGCTCAGTGCGCCCACCTTGCAGCTGCACCCACCTTGCACGTGGACAGGGCAGGGCCAAAGGGGGACCAGTGGGAACAATGATGGTCACTTGGCAACCCAGCCCCCATTCCCCAAACTGAAACACTCGTTGGCCAGCACTCATAGCCAAACCGAAACACATGCGTTCAGTGAAATGGTTTGAAAATCCTCTTGCCGATTCTTTGTGAACTAGGCCTTCTGGAAGGCTGCGATGCAACCGAGGAGCTCCCCAAATGTCGCTGAGTCCAAGCAATGTGGGCTGCAAGGACAGTCCTGAGGCCCCTGCTCTCCACTCTCCTGGGCTGGGAGGGGAGCATCCCAGGGAATATCGTGGAGTCCAATGCAGAGATGCAAGAGGAGGAGCTTAAGGAAGGTCCCCCCATTCTCACGGCCAGGATGAGGACCCGTTAGCTATGGGCAGCACAGCTAAACGTCACCCGAGTCTCCTCAACCTGGGTTCTGGGAGGAACGCTTTCGGGCCCCCTGGGCATTCACAGCTACTCCTACTGCTGACGGTGGGTCCCTCGGGTCCGCCTGGTTTCCTACTCATTTCTTCCTAAGATGTTTAAGTGGTTGGAGAATTTTTTTTTTTTTAATTTACAAAATGATGCATATGTGCATGCTCACTTAAAAAAAAATAGCTTATTGATATTTTCATCTAATTCCGGATAAACCCTCGGAAGCTGACTCGAGGGTTTCTTAAATGTTCCCAGGGATGGTTTTAGGGTCATGTCTTCTTGGAAGGATTACCCATTAATAATAAAAAAGAGCACTGAATAATCAGGAATTTGGTATTTGATATTTTTGCAAGATGCGTCACTGACATTTTATTGATGGGCGTTCAGAGAGACTGATGGGGAGTGTGTTGATATCAGGAGGCCCGCTGCCACAAAGCCGGCCAGGATGCCTGCTCAGCCCCCGGCACGTGCTGTCCAGGGTGGGGAGGGCCTTCTGCCCGCTCTGCAAGGGTGCGGTCCGGAAGCGAGCGGGGCTGCTGCTGGGCTCTGTCTCTGGTGGGTGAAACACCTCCTTCCGTCTACCCCGCCCCTCCCGTTTCCTCAGACCAGCTGCATGCATTTGCTCGGCCCCCCAAAGACACGTGAAGGGTGCCCCCACCCCAGGTCGACGATGCTGTGGCGGAGGGCCTGGCCCAGGCCTGAGCTTACCGGTTCCCGTTAAACGTGGATTTGTAGTCGGCCGTCGGGTGCAGCGTCTCGTCGGTGTACATGGGCGCGGATGCCCGGACACATTCGTGGGAGCACTGGAGGGTCTCATTATAGGCTGTGAATATGTCCAGGCTGCTGGGCACCCGGGCAGGGGTGAAGTCCGTCAGGTTCTGGCAGCTCTCCTCCTGCTGGTTGATCTTCCGCTGGTGGCTCTTCCGACGCGTGTTCCCGCTTTGGGCACAGCTGGAAGACAGAGGAGTCGGGGTGGGGGTGCGGCGGGCAGATGCCAAAAGCCAGCACTCAGACTACGGAGGCTTCGCCTCTGGGCATGAATTATCCGTCATTTAATATTACATGGTAATTCCCAGCCTCTTCAGAAAGATCAACCACAATCAAACAATCAGCTCACTCTCTCTTTTTTTGTTAATAAAATTTGAATTTTAAATGTGGCCATTACTGCAGGGCAGATTATGAGATAAGTTTCTGAGCTGCGTTATCCCAGAACTGAGGCCTCGTCTGGCCGAAGGGTGTCAGCCAGGCAGGGGTGCTGACTCGGTTTCCCCATGAAGGGATGGGTACAGGTGTGGTTGGTCTGGTGGCTCATTCTGGAAGGGACTATTCTTTGGGGAGAATTATTAAGTGGGGAGCCCCGCGTCCTCAGCCCTGCCCCTGCCCACGCTCCCAAGTTGGAAATGAACGTGGATCGTCCATTCTTCACGGGTATCAGGTCTATGGAGAGAACTGTTCTGCATGCCCCATGGATCCTGTCCTGTTCCTCTGGACCACAGAGCCTTCCCAGCGCCACCAAGGATGGACACGGGAGTCCCACCCTTGACAGCCGAGCGATCTGGGGGAGTAGATTATCAGTGACCTCTCCCAGGCACTTCCGGCAAGTCACAAGAAGGGTAAGTGGAAGTCCCATCCCAGTGGAGGAGGGCAGCTAGGAGGAAATTTGGGGAGCCCCCAGTTTGGGGAACCAGTTTCCCTTCTCCCCCTCCCTGCTGTGCTCAGAGCCAATGCGGAAGGAAGTGGCCATGAGGGGCAAGGGTCCATGAGCCCATCTTCCTGTAAGTCATGGACATGCCCTATCTCATCTTTCCAGTGAGAGGAGCCCTGGTTCCTGGCGCAGAAGCCCCACCCCATAAACAAAGGTGGGAAGATAAATGCAAACCCAGGGGACCCCCCTCAAGGTCATGGAACCCCCTCATCCACTGCCTGGGTTGTCCTCCCCAGAAGAACTCTCTGAGGCTTCACTGCAAACCCAAATGTGGGAAACCACCAGGCGACAGCCTCCTCCATCTCCTCTGGGGGCCGTCAAGATGGTCAATGGGATTTGTCCAGCCACACATCCATGTGGTCCTGGGCTCCAGACCAGGACCAGCCCCTGCCCAAGATGCCCTGTGGTGAGCTGAGGGTCGTCCTCATCACCTGTCCCAGAAAACGCCCTGGGTCTCGGGTTTGCTGGCCTTCGGGAGGCCTCGCTGGTTTGCTGTGAGGTCTGCTTTGGGGTTGTGCCAATCCCACCCTGCCACCTTTGCTAACCCTGGAGACTGGCTTTCTCTCGGATCTCCGTTGTCTGGACCCTCGGGAGCAGTTGCTGCCCATCAGCCCCACTTGACCTCCTGTCACCACCTGCCGGCAACGGGGGCACCGTTTGGGTGTATTGCCCTACAAGGGAGTTTGAGCTTTGATGCTAAAAGGAGACACATTTGCTGGAGGAGGGGCTGCAGGCAGATGGGGCGTCGGAGGTGTGTGTGCACCAGGGTCACCCAGCAGTGCCCCGATTTTCCCAGGGGTGTAGCAGGTGGGTTCACCTAGCAAGGCCAACCTCAAAGTAGGCCAATTTCCAGGAGGAAATAGGCAAAAACGGGCTGCCTGGAGCAAAGCAATAACCTAGTTCAGCAGACACAGAGCGGCCACAAGAGGAAGGAAGGATTCAAATCGGTGGGCAGAGCACGGCCCCTGGACAGCCGGGGGCAGCGAGGGGTGGGCGCGAACCTGCCCAGGCTGCTGGCGTGCTGGGTGGGTGGCATCGAAAGGCACATTGAATGCAGACACAGGCTTCGGAAACCCCAACACCTGCTGCCTGAGAAACTGTCATGGAGGCTGGGCTCACTTGCATTCTGCAGAGAAAGCCACGGTCAGGGGCGCGTCCCCCAAGGGCAGTATCAGAGAGCACGGCGCCTGTGGCCGGCCAAGCTGCCGTGGGGCTGAAGGTGAGCAGACTGAAGCAAGGCCAAGAGCTGCACCCAATTCTCTGGCCCAAATGAGAAAAACAATGCCCTGGGATGCAATGTGGGACCGGGTCTGACAAGTAGGAAACCCTCTGTGCACACTTCCCGGGGGAGCCCCACAGCCCCCATGTCCAGGCCAGAGGGGCCGAGGAGCCTTACCAGTTTTTTAAGACAAGAGTTGTAATCAGAGCAGCTATGACCATGATGAGGGAGACAGTGATGGTGATAATCTGATGAACAGCCAGACCTGGAAAAGAGGAAGGGGGAGGGCAGCCATGAGACCGGGGCATGAGACAAAGGAGCCCAGGAAGGGCAGGGCCTGCTCCTGTCAACTCGGGTCTCTCCTTCCCCACGGCAGGGGCTGGGCACCAGGGCTGCGGTCACCTGGAGTCCAGGAAGGGAGTCCCCAGCCCCGGCGTCTCTTGGCTCCCCAGCTGTGACCCGGCCCACGGGCAGCTGTGTCCTTTCTTGCACCTGTCAAGCTCCTCACCTGGCCCAGGTGAGCTCAGGCTGAGGCACGCCCCCCAGGACCTGTCACTCTTCCTTTGCCTCCTCCCACCTGGCTAAGTTCTCCATTCTGAGCACAGGCCTTTGAGTGGGAGCAGGTCTGGCTTGACACAGGAGGGGCCGAGGCAGCCCAGGATTTGTTGGGAAGGTAGGGGAGAGTGAACATGGGTTGACCTCCTGGAAGACTCAGGGGTTACCTGGATCACTGGGGAGTATCTTCCTCTTTCCAGAGTCCTCTCCAAGATGCTCACTGCCTGATGAGGTTCCAGGAATAAAAGACCCAGGCCTAGCGGCTGATGCTTCCCCAAAGCCCAGAAAAGGATCTGCAATCTAGCCTCGCTGCCCTGTGTCTGCTGTGTGTGTGCATGGGGTAGGATGGTGCGGGGCATAAGGAGTGGAAACAGCAAGTCAGGGACAGAAGCGGGGCAGCCTGAGCCCCACCTGAGAGCTGTCTGCTGACCCCATACAGGGATAGCAGAGGACAGGGATTCTCTCCTACACTGTCCCTCTGTCCCCACCCCCTGTACCACCTTCCACTGACCACAGATGCAGGGGATGGGCGGCAAGGCTATGTTCCTCCTGACAACACATCTGTCACATCCTTCCTGGAACACAGACACTGGGGGCACGCCCGGCAGATGCCACTGGTCCATAAAAGCCACCTGCAAAGGCCCTGTCCTCCTCTGATCAGGAAGAACCCTACCTGAGGAGCTGGGCCATAAAGGTCCTGGGGGCTCTGCAGTGAGCCCTGCAGGGGGCAGCCCCTCGTCCCACCGAAGTGCTAATTTCCCTGTGTTCTTGCACCTGGGAGGTGTAAGCACTTGCCTCTCTCCACTCCAGGGGTCCAACTGCAGAGGCCCGCCCATCACCCCGAGGAACCCAGCGGGTCCTGGGGTGAGAACAAGACGCACATGTGTCCCAGCATGGAGGATTTCAGAATATAAGATTTTTCTGGCGGTCTCCCAAGGACACAGTCTCGCAAACAGATGTTACCTCTCTACTGAATATGATCCTCGTGGGGGAAATTATTAATAAATGATTCAAAGTTGGCATGACCAGAAAACAAGCTTTCTTTTCCTGTTTGCCCGTCTTCCGGGCTATTTCTGTTTGTCGTGAGGGATTCCTCTCCTGAGCCCACAGGATAAGCACCACTAGGAAAACTGGAGAAGACATGAATGTAATGGAAATCCCTTCATTTATTCTTTTATCCACTGATTCAAGAACCAGTTACAGAGCACCTACTGCATGCCAAACATTGTCAGTTTTGACGAACTCAGCCACGGTGCCCCCCCTTTAAGGAGCGGCTTCCCTAGTGCCCATTTTTTCACTTGATCTTAGCCGAAAGGCTGGGAAGTGATCTAGTGCCCATTTTTTAAAATGGCAGCATTCACTGCTGGTTCTGGCCAATGGCTTCACATACATCTATGCCCAAGTTGTGGCAGCTGCCATAAACCTCTAGGCCAGTTTGCCTTTTCATCTAAGACTGCCAAATCAGTTTTCCCATAGGACTGACAGCCAGTTACACCACAGGGAACACCCTCAGTCTCATCAACAATGGAGTACCCGCCAGCCTCAGAAATCCCTAACTATTCAACAGCTTCCCCAACACCCAACTCAGACCGCTTTGGCAGAGGAAGGGTTGGAAAGGATGGTGATGGTGATGATGGTGATCTCAGGCATGCTCAACAAGTGGTAACAATTGTCAGAGGTGCATTATCCAAATTATCCTGGTAACAACTCTCAAAGGTAAATACTATCATCATCAGTTATGCAAGTGAAAACCAAATGGACCAGTTTGTGTAAATTCCTTGGTTCGCATAGGATCTGCTGGCTCAAAGTCCATACTAAGAACAGCAGTATAATATGATTCTGAGCTCAAACTTCATTAATCTGCTTTTGCTCTGACTTTCTCTAAGCTCAGTTTTGGTCTCCTTTATTCCAAGGTAGAGGCTGGTACCTCTCCCGTCCACATTCCTGGGGGAGAGCAAGCTTCTACATCTTCTTGAGCCTCACCACCTCCTCCATGAACAGACCCCTCAGGAAGTGCTCCAGGCCCATGCCAAAAACTTCTCAGCCATTCGTTGGCAGGTCGCATCCCATTCCCCATGGCAAGAACCGAGTCTTCATTCCTTGGGCTAAACCTTCCATCTTCTAGGTCACGAGAATCCAGCTTATGGAGGCTGGCGATGTAAAAGTACACAGTGAGTGGGTGAGCCAAGAGGACACGGGGGCTGGTTCAACTGCTAGGTCAGGCCGAGCTGAAGGCATTGAGAGCCCCACAAGAGCAGAGCGCTGTGCCATCCATTCCCCACCATCTGTAGGACCAGGGGAGGCTCAGGGCACTGCTAGATTTTGACCTGTCATCTTGTTACTATGGGAATTCTGTGGGGTTGAATATCTGCAAACGTCCTTGGAAGGGAAGAGTTCCATGACCAGCTGCATCTTAGATGTCTGATCACCTTCCATTCCCCGCTGTGGGTGAGGATGGGAAGGCACGGATTCTCCTCCTCTGATAGATGTAAGAAACTGAGGCCTGGGGGCAGAACGGTTGGCTCAAGGGACCTCTCCCTCACTGATGACTCTGAGAATAGAAGACCAGCCCTTTGCCCGAGGGCCTCATAAGTCCCTGAGCCTCCTTAAGAAAGGGGCCTCTTCAGATGTGGTATATATATACAATGGAATATTATGCAGCCATCAAAAGGAATGAGATCTTGCCATTTGCAACGACGTGGATGGAACTAGAGAGTATTATGCTAAGCGAAATAAGTCAGTCAGAGAAAGACATGTATCATATGATCTCACTGATATGAGGAATTCTTAATTGCAGGAAACAAACTAAGGGTTGCTGGAGTTGGGGGTGGGGTGGGAGGGATGGGGTGACTGGGTGATAGACACTGGGGAGGGTATGTGCTCTGGTAAGCGCTGTGAATTGTGCAAGACTGTTGAATCTCAGATCTCTACCTCTGAAACAAATAATGCAATATATGGTAAGAAAAAAAAAGAAGAAGAAGAAGGTAGCGGGAGGGGAAGAATGAAGCGGGGGAAATCGGAGGGGGAGACGAACCATGAGAGACGATGGACTCTGAAAAACAAACTGAGGGTTCTAGAGGGGAGGGGGACGGGAGGATGGGTTAGCCTGGTGGTGGGTATTGAGGAGGGCACATTCTGCATGGAGCACTGGGTGTTGTGCACAAACAATGAATCATGGAACACTTCATCTAAAACTAATGATGTAATGTATGGGAATTAACATAAGAATAAAAAAAAAAAAAGAAAGAGAGCCCAAGATTGGGGGAAAAAAAAAAAAAAGAAAGGGGCCTCTTCATCTTCATACCCACCCCTAGCCCCCCACACAGTCTAACATAGTCCCTTACAACTGTAGCTGTGTGACATATTACATTTATAACTGAAAAGGAGAAAATAAAAACCAGGGGAACAGGGAGAAAGGCGATGATATAATCCTAAGGTTTGCCTTATTCTGGAGGCCCTTCTCCTGCCTTCAGTGTGCAACTCCTCCATAGAACTTACCAAATTAAATTTTGGGGGAAATGATCAGTGGGTTAATAACCAGCCAAGATCATCTGCTATGCTTTCTAGAAAGACTTCTTTATGCCAGGTACCTTGCCAAGTCTTCACATGTGATCAACCGAATCCATCACCATCCTGCACTTTTGCACCTGCCTGACTGATGAGGAGCTTGATGCTGAGGAGTAAAGTGACTTTCCCATCATCATTCGGCAGAGCCAGGATGAAAGGCAGTTCTCTGCTCTGGAGCCTCAGAGAAGATCAAACATCTAAAGCCAAACTAACCCATCTGTAGCTACATTCTGGTCATAAAACTAGCTAGAGGCAAACATCTGACTACTCCTCACATACTTTACTTGCAAGGCAAACAGCCTTATGCTTCAACGCCTGGCCCATGAGTTCTGATGGGCCCCTGGGCTCGTGCATAAAAGAGCAATAGCTTCAAGAAGATCCCATAGACCCCATGCTCATGATGGTGGAACAAGGATCAGGCCTTTTGACATGTGGCAAGAATGACACTTGTAAGAAGCAGGCTGGAAGACAGAAAATCCATAAGGATGCCTCCTCACTTATTCTCTCTGGGAGGTTGGCTACCACGAAGAGAACAGAATAGCATGTGAGAAGTGATGTCCTGTTTCAATCATCTGCCCTGTTATTTAGTCCTCCCCAAATGCCAGGAGTCCTTTCTTCTTCATCAGTATAAATCCCTTAAGTCTTCGCATGGATGCTGGGTAGGCAAACCTTGCCATGAAGGGCCAGAGAGTAAATATTTTAGGCTTTGTGGGCAGTATGGTCTCTGTCGCAACTTCCCCATCAGGCCGTTACAGGGCAAGAGCAGACATGGATAATACGCAAGCAAACGGGTGTGGCTATGTTCCAATAAAACTTTATTTACAAAAACAGAGAGCAGCCAAATTTCGCTCATAGTTTATAGTTTGCTGGCCTCTAATTTACGTGAACAGCTGAGGGTGGTTTGTCTTATAAATTAAATAGAATATATATCTATTTTGAAAGATTGGTTAAAGCTGGGACTCAAGCTGCAGTTCTTTGGTTCTGAAGACTAGAACCTTCACGCTCCATCATCAAAGGCTTCCTGAGTTCTGAGAATTTCACTGGCCACTGCCAAGGTGATTTCAAAGACAGCCACAACGTCCACTTTAGCAAGCTGGACCGTAACAGTTAGCCATGGGCAGCTTTGCCCTGCCAGGTTTGTCC